CCTCGGTGTGAAGAGGTTTTTGCGTTACCAATCGCTCTTTATTTGGCGTCTCTTCTTGGGAGTCCCGTTGGGTCCCTTTTGGAGCCCTTTTGGGGCCCTCTTGGAGGCCTCTTGGGGCTTCTTGGGGGGTTCTTGGGGCCTCCTGTGAGCTTCTTGGGGCGAAAGGCTAGACTTTTCGGTTCGTGGTCCCCCTCTTGGGCCCGTCTTGGGGTCCTCCTGGGCCGTCTTGGGCGCCTCTTGGGCTGTTTTGGGGCATTCTTGGGCCGTTTTGGGAGCCTCTTGGGCCGTCTTGGGGCGGTCTTGGGGGTTTCTTGGACCGTCTTCAACGCCATGAAAGCCGAAAAGCCGTGTATGCTAACAATGTATGTTTTGATTTGGGCCTCCTGGTGGCCTCTGGGGACGCCTCTTGCAGGCCTCTTGGGGCTTCTTGGCTCTTGGCTTCTTGGGGCGAAAGGCTAAACTTTTCGGTTCGTGGTCCCCCTCTTGGGGCCGTCTTGGGGCTCTCTTTGGCCGTCTTGGGCGCCTCTTGGGCTGTCTTGGGGCCCTCTTGGGCCGTTGTGGGGGCCTCTTGGGAACCTCTTGGGCCGTCTTGGGGAGGTTTGGGGGCCTCTTGGGCCGTCGTCAACGCCGTGAAAGCCGAAAAGCCGTATATGCTAAACATGTGTGTGTGTGTCTTCCTATGGGCAATCAATCATTTGTACCTCTTGGGGCCTCCTGTGAGCTTCTTGGGGCGAAAGGCTAGACTTTCGGTTCGTGGTTCCCCTCATTGGGCCGTCTCGGGGCCCTCTTGGGCCGTCTTGGGGCCTCTTGGGGCCCTCTTGGGCCGTTTTGGGGGCCTCTTGGGCAGTTTTGGGGGCCTCTTGGGAGCCTCTTAGGCCGTCCTGGAACGATCTTGGGGGCCTCCTGGGCCGTCGTCGACGCCGTGGAGGCCGAAACGTCGCGTATGCTCAACATGCACGTTTTCCCAAGGTTTTGGCCTCTTGGGGCCCTCCTGGGACGCCCCTTGGGCGCCTCTTGGGGCGTCTTGGATGCCTCTTGGGCCGTCTTGGGCGGTCTTGGGCTCTGTTGGAGCGCTCTTGGGCAGTGCTGGAGGTATCTTTGGCCGTCTTGGACCCCTCTTGCACCGTCTTGAGCACCCAAGACGGCCCAAGAAGCGCCCAAGAGGCCTCCAGGAGGCCCTCCCTAGAGGGCTTCGCCCAAACACAACGTCATCACTCGTACCTCGCTCTTTCCGTTACCCCAGCAGGTATCCAAGAAGCTTTTGACCCACAACCCAGGCCAGTGGCGGTATGAGCCGAAGGCCAGTAGATAAGCTAACACTTGTCTTGATAATGGCGCAACTCTATGCAGTCACGTGTAGCGCAGGGCGCGGCCCTCTCTTCAAGTACTGCGTGCCGCGGGGCAGTGCGGATAGGGGGCTGCTGCGGAGCAAGCGCGCGCTGGCGCGCTGAAATCTCTGTTGGGCAAGATCCGCGTGAGGGGGGGGCCGAGCGGTCGGGCGGGCGATTTCGCGGGCGTTTGCATGCTTGCAGTTGTGAGGTTGTCACGGGCTGAGGCTTGCTAGAAGCTAAGCGCGCGAAGCGCGCGTGGTTCTATCCTCAATTTCCCTTCTCACGATTGCCATATTGCGCACGCGTGTTGGTGCTTCTGGGGTAGATCCCCTGGGGCGCCAGGGTTCACGCAGGCCGTTCAGAGTTTTCTTCCCGAGTATGGCACGCGACTTGTCGGCGAAATCTTCCGACGCCGACCGTCGTGCGATTTTTTGCATTTGTCCGCCTTGCGTGCACACCCTTGGGCAATCGACCAGATCGGTCCGCGCCAGGCCGATACGCCTCCGTCGAAAAATATCCATGTCAAGTCTTGTTGTCGGTACTCCGCACTCTACCTACTAGCAGCGAGTAGTTTCGCTACGCAGTTCGCACGCATTCTTGGAACACTGACCAGACAAGTCGGAGTGAGGGGTGTCCGCTCACGCGAATCCATTTCAAGTCGTGCGCGTGGTGGCTGCTTCGGGGCAGGCAGACGTCGCGGTTATCTTATTTCTTCCGACCGGGGGGCCCGGCGGGGCCTGGCCGGGGGGGCGCGCGCGGCCTCGCAGGGGGCCTTGGGGGGGGCCCGTGGGGCTCGACCGCGCGTCGCGGCGGCCAAGGGGAGGGCCCGGGGCCAGTGGGGAAAAAAACTCTGCGCCTGCGACGGGTTTGCGATTAGTTTAAGCTTACAGAAAATCGGCCCGTGCGGCAGGCTTGCGACTTTGATGGGAATTTCAACTTGATGCATTCGGGAAGGCCCCTCACTCCTCTCCGCTTCTGCGGGGGCTATGGTATGTGCCAAGCGATGCGTCTCTATCAGGATAATCGGCAATGTTCACTTCTCGGACCTGAGGCCTCAGGTTGGTACATTGCACGTGTGTGACGTGTCGACCAGCGATTGGCCGTCCCTTTCCATAAAAGAGAGCGAGGAAAAAGAGGGTCGAGAGGTCGAGATTTGGTGTGTGTGTGTGTGAGTGTGGTGGAGGTGAGGTGGGGAGGTGCTGGATGTAGTGAGAGCAGGCGACTGGTGAAGAAGGGAAATGATAATGTCTGGAGCTGGCTCCGTTGTAAAGTGTTTGCCTTCGCTGTAACTTCATTTGTCATCCCATGCTGCGTGGAATCGGGCTGTTCTGGCCCTTTGAGGAAGGGGGGCTAGGAGGAGGACGATGAGGAGCAGGAGCCATGAGGAGGAGGAGAGGGAGGACACAGAAAGGGACAAGGAGGACAACGATAGGGGGCTTGGCGTCATGATCTCGACTTGGCCCCTTTCGTGGTTTGCGGGGCTTCAGTGGAACGTTCAGCGCCTTCTCCTCCCCCACTCCTTCCATTTCATCCCGCATTACTCTTCTCACGTACCTCCTCCCTCCTCCCGTTCCCTCGCGTTGCTCGCCTTTCCCATGGGAGGGCATCGCAATCAATGATCATAGCGCATGTCCTTGCAAGTGTGGCGTAACCCCCCGCTACGTGTTCACTTCGTCCATCCATGCACCAACCAGTGTGCTATGACGTCACCTTTCTCTGTGCACCGAGGACTGGGTCCCTGGCCCTAGGGTGGCCAACTTTTCCCAAACTCTCCTTATCGCAACCTAATTGCCCCCCCCCAGGGCTCCAGGACCTGCTTTGCGGCCTTTGGGTGTCTCTGTCGGCCTTAAGAGGCGTCTGAGCTGGATCAGGAGGACGCCCGCCGGCCGCCAAGACGGCCCGGGGTGGCCTACGACGTTCTAAGATGATTCCAACGGTGGAGCTCCCAAGAGATCCACAAAAAAGACTCCAGAGAGCGAAAACCGCAGAAGCTATTGCAGCCTTTCAATAATTAGCTCATCTCACGCTCTTCTCCTGCGTATGGGTTCGGGGGCGCTTCAGATGGCCCCTAGGCCTGAGATGGGCCAACAAAGCTTGAAAAAGACCCCACAACGGCCCCTAGCGGGCCCACATGGTTTCCATATTCCCCTCACAGGAAAATCCCCAAGAGACCCCTACATTCCAAGACAACCCACTTCACGTTCGATGTCTCCCCCCCACGCCGTCTCTGAACAGCTCGAAGGTCCCGCATTATCTCCAGCAGGAAGAGGCCGTCGATAAGAGCGAGAAGCGAACAGCGAGGACAACCGAACGAGATTGGATGACTTATGAGACCTAGTGGAGGACGCGGCAAGGCAAGGCATGGAATGATCCGTCCCGAGAAGCTTGCACAGCTGACGACGCCCTGGCCTGCGATAGAACCTAAGCGCGCGCGAAGCGCGCGCGTGCTACCAATACACGTTGTCCCACGGGACGAGGGCCCTTTTTGTGGCTGGGGCCCTCCAGGGAATGTTCTTCGAGGTCGCTTCGGGCGTTTTGGACACCTCTTCGGTCGTCAAGAGGCCATTTTGGACGTCATGGTCTGGCACTGCGGCGGCACGGTGCCTTCGTGAGACGTTTGGGAGAAATCCTGAGCTCTCGTGGAGCTTCCGATATGCACCGGAAAAGTGCAGATCCCCCCATGATGCGTTTGGCGGGGGGGCGGGGAAGGCTTGGTGAGCCCGCTCGTGGAGCTGTTGTAGAAGCTTTATGGGCCGTCGTGGGTACGTCTGGGGCCATTAAGGCGGCTCTCTTCCCGATCACTTCCCGAGGACCATTTTATTTTATGTGGCATCTCGGGAGCAGATTTGAAGTCTCGTGGGACTCGATTTCGGGCCTCTTGGAGCCTTTTGGGGGCCTCTGGAGGCCTCCTGGTCGCATGCGTAGTTTTGAGGCTCTCTTGGGCTGTCTTGGGCGCCTCTTGGGCTGTATTACGGCCCTGTTGGGCCGTCTTCGGATTCTTCTCGAAGCTTCTTGGGCCAGTTTTTGGAGCCTCTTGTGCCGTCTTCAACGACGTGGGTGTCGAAGAGTCGTAGATGCTAAAAGTGTACGAGAACCGTACGCTTTCCCGAAGGAATTTGACGATTATTGCCTCTGTTGTCCATCTTGGGAGGCCTCTCGGAGGTTATGTGGAGCGTCTTTGGGGCATCTTGGGCCGTCTGGAGGACGTAATGGGCGTCTTGGAACGGTCTTTCAGCGGCTCGGGGCCGTCTTGTACCATCTTTGGTGCGTCTTGGAGCCCGCTTGGGTTGTCTGGAAGCCCTCTATCCCCCCAGGCCGCATTCGGGCCCGGCCCCAGGAGGGATCCACTTGCCGGTTCGGGGTTCTTGATGAGAGGATTTGGAGGGACAGAGTCTCACACGCCTATAGAGACCCACAAGGGGTCGGCAGATTACTATGATGACGATGTTGTTGATGCTGATGATGTTGTTGATGATCAATATGTTGGTGGAGGAGGCCGCTCATGAGCACGACGACCCTGATCATGACGGTAATTATGGTGCTGAGGATGACGATGGCGCTGACGACATGACGGCGCGGTGGCGATGCTGATGACGATGGCTATGGTGTGGCGCTCCCACTCCCGCCCAGCCGCCCTCGGGGCGCCCGAAGGACGCGTCGTGCATCTACATGGTCGGCGTCCCAGAGGACGGCGGCGCCGCGTCGGCGCGGGCGGGCGCCGCGGCTTTGCGCCCCCGCACGCGCGCCCGCGCGGCAGGGCGGCGCGGAGCGGGCGGCCACTACAGGAGAGTCACACCGGGGGGGACGGTTAGCCGTGGACCGCCTGGTCCGGCAGCCAGGTCGCCTGGAGCCCCCCTCTCACAAACGATTCAGGAGTCATGTTCTCGCCCCGATGCCAGCTACACGTTTTGTTCGGATCGTGAAAGCTACACTCGGGTGCATATGGCCGTGATATCACCCCTGACCCGACTGCATCCTTCTCAGGACATCCTTAGTAACGCATCGAAAGTTCCGTTTTCCGCCCCATCATGTTTGCTGATTCGTGGGTGTTCTGCCGAGGTGATTCTCGTTGTGCGTGCAGTTGCAAGGTCGTCTGTGTACGCTGCGGCATGTGCGCACTTGCTTCCGGTCTTGGAAGTCCTCGAAGGCATGGGCAGCCGCCGCGGGGGGCGGCGTGCTCGCCCCAGGGCCCGGGAGGCGGCCAGCACCGACCGTGCCGCCTCGAGCTGGCCCGTGCGGCGGCGCACTTGAGGGAGGCGGCCCAGACGGACCCATCATCCAGGGAGGAGAAGCTCGAGGCGAGGCCGAGGGCCTCGGCGCGGTGCGGGGCGAGGCCGAGACCTCCCCTGCCGCTGTGCTGCGGCCAGTACAACGCAGTCAGCCCTCCAGTCGCTCTCGGGGTGCGACGAGCGAGCGCAGGCTCGAACACTCGGGGGTCCCCCAGACGGTGTATTGACCACAGTGCGTCGTGAGTCAGTGGAGATTCGGAATCACCGCGCGGTTTTGGGACTCGGGTCGTTCTCCGAGGACGACTCGGGCGACCGGGGCCTCCGAGGTCCCAAGACCGTGCGGCGACGGAGTCCGCGGTAAGGTCTCTTGGGATTTCGAGGTCACCGCTCGGTTTCTCACCACACGTCTTTGGGACCTCCGAGAAACCATCCCGACACTCATAATTTACGTTTGCTGAACGGTCCTGCCTTGTCCGATTGCTTGAGCGCGTTTGCAGAAGAGCTGTGCCTTGGGTGCGATTCTTGATCTGACGCTGTTGCATTCAGGCCGCAGAGCGACCCCCCAAGATGCCCCTCCAAGCTGGGCACCCACGGGCTCCCAACAGAACACCACGATGACCAGACAGACTGGGCGAAGGTGCCCCCCAAAGGCCTCACGGTGCCCACGAGGGGGCTCGAATATTGGGCGGCGCGCGCAACAAGGTGACGCGAGCGGTGGGCCTTCTGAGAAGGCCGGGGGCGTGTTAGCAGGGGTTGTCTTTTCAGAAGCGTCTGGAGGTTGATGAGGAGGATTCTCAGAAGCAGGGCGAGCTTCTAAGATGGCCCCTGCCTTGCCGTCCGAGAAAAAGCCCATGACCTCCTCAAGGGGGCACTCACGTCGCGTAACCCCCTTGTACGCACCGCCAACCCAATTTGGTCTGACGTTCGAGTGTCGAGGTGTTCCAGCGTTTGGGCTGCCTTAGGGCTATGTTGGGGCCCTCGTTTGGACTATTGTAGAGGCCTCCGGCCAGTGCCGCCGGTCCGGGACGATCCCGCTGTCAGAAGGACGTTTTTGCCCCAGCGCGCTTGTTCAGACGTAAGTTGTTTGGAAACAGCTTGGAGGCATTGCGTGGGCTTCTTGAGGGGCCTCTACGACGCATCTTCGAGGCCTCCTGGGGGGGCGTCTTGGAGGTGATTGTTGAGCCTCTTGGGGGCCTTTTGGGCTTCTTGGGGGGTATGCAGGAGGCATCCTGGAGGCCCCCTGGGTGTGTAGGAGGTAATGTTAAAGCCTTCCTGAGCTCTTTTGGGCGCCTTTTGGGGGCCTCTTGAGGGCCACTTGGAGCCTCTCGGGGTTTCTTGGGGACTCCTAGGGCCATTTTGGTGCCTCTTGGGCCGTCTTGGGCCCTTCTGGTGCCGTCATGGAGGCCCGCTTGGGCGCTTCTTGGGCCCGTCCTGGGGCCCGCTTGGGCTGTCTTGTCTTGGGGGCCGTCTTGGGCCCTTCTTGGGCCGACTTGGGGCCCTCTTGAGAGCCTCTGGGCCTGTTTTGTGGGTCTCTTGGGCTGTGTTGGACATTGCGAAGGACGAAGAAGCGACAATGCAAAAAATGCACGTTTTCCCAAGGGAGTTGGACAGATGTTCAGTCTTTGGGCAATCTTAGGAGGTATCGGGAGGGTACGTTGGAGGCTTTTGGAGCCGTCTGAGGAAAATATAGAGCGTCTCGGAGCAATGTTTCGGCCACTCAGGGCCCTCTTGGGCCGTCTGGGCGGCCGCTGGGTTTTTTTATAAGCCCGCGTTCGAGCTCTCCGGGGCGAGGGGCCCACCAAAATTGACGAGGACCCCCTCCCTTACCTCGGCAGAGCCACCCCGGCACCCACCCCCCCAGCAGAGCTGAAGCTCAAGAATTGAGGCTCAGGCTATTTCTGAGGACCTTTTGAAACTCACACGCCAGATCGGCGGATTTGAGTTCTCGGAGGGCTTCCCGTGATCTCTCTCGACGCCCCGCGGGGTCCGAACAGATTCTTGGATTCGCAGAGGCATGGTGTCTCAATGATCTGGGGCGTTTGCGGTGCCTCCGAGGGATGCGCACTTGGCTATTACGGGCCACGTCGGCAGGCCACTCGGCTGTCTCGGACTGTCTTTGGCCACTGGGCACCACTGCTGGAGAGCCATCACGTGGCCATGTGAAAGCGTGGGCCGACAGGCGCTCTCGGTCATTTCTGGGGCCCTCTTGGGCACGCCGTGGGACTCCAAACGGCCAGAAGGTACAATAACCAAGGGCTCCCTCGAGGGCGCGAAGTTATTCGCGCTTCGCGGTCCTCGTTCCTTCTCCCCCTCCTCCTCGTCCTCCTATTCTCCCTTTAGGAGGGCGGCGCGAGAGCGCGAAGTTATTCGCGCTTCGCGCTTCGCGCAGCGCGAAGCGCGAAGTTGGGAGCCCTAGATAACGCAATAACACAATTTGACTATGGTTCTGGTCATGTTGGGTGCCTCCGAGGAGAGGTCAGTCAGCCGTCTCAGGCCGTCATGGAAGTTCATTCAGCTAGCTTGGGCCGTTATCCCGAGGCCAGGTTGAAGCCATCCTGAGGCCATCATCTCAGGACCATATGAGGGCCGCTTCGAGGCCTGACGCCCGGTGGCCCGCGTCATTGGGGGCTTTTGGGGCGCTTTCGCCTGCTCGTCGGCCCCAGCTCGGTCCGCAGACCCTCAGGGGCCGCCCTCGTGCGCGCGGACTCTACATACTAGACACGTAAACACATTGGCCTGAGGTACCCGCTCTTCTAGGATCTGACTCCTTTGTGGCCCGTTGGGCCGGCGAATGGCACCACACAAGTGCCATTGCATAGACATGTTGGTCTACACAGGATTGAGAACATGCTCATACACCCATCCTGGTGTCACCGCTGCGGTTTTTTGTTGTGCCCCTATCTATTATGCCACCTGGAATAGACCCCACATCGTGTTCAAATCGATGAATGCAGTTCACATGTGCTGATCCAGGAACTGCATTTTTAAGAATCCCTGAAGGACCGCGTGAGAGTCGCACAGGGGGGCAAGCGACCCCGAGGACGTTTACTGCGGCATCTGGTCCAGCAGCCGTTTCGCCTTAGACGTCCTCACAATTGATCCAGGAATCGTGGCCTCGCCTAATGCCGGCTACGTGTCTGGTCTGGATGGCAACGACCTTTTGTGACCAATTCTCGCTCTTGCCCCTTGTGGCCGACCCCCTACCTCTCGACCCGCCTCTTTAGCGTTCCTGTTGTCGGGGTGCCTTGCTTGGGTAAGTCTACGAATCCCTTACAACAAATGAGATGCGGCGGGGCACGTGCGCGCGCCGACGCGCGCATGTCAAGACAACTCGCAAAACAGTGGTGTTCTGACACATACAAGACAACTGCTCACAGGCTAAAACATGTTTGTTTGCAAGCAGTAGACGCCATACTGCTGCATGAGCGCGCCACACGCGCACGCATGTCAATCACGTTCAACCACTTGCGCCTGGCAACTTACACCTTTTACCATGCGGGCCACACGTACGCGCCTCCGCGCGCGCACGTCGAAGTTATTCCAACACCGTGGGTGTCTTAGGCATGCCCTCGCAGAAGTGTCCAAAACGTAGGAGATCACTTGAGCGACGAAAGAACGAGGGGTCGTCTGCGCCGACGTTCGCGCGCACGCTCTCCGCGTAAGGTCGGACGCAAGCGCCGTCCTCTCCAACGTAGCGTGTCTCGCTGGCGGCCCGCGCAAGCCGCAGTGTAAGGTCGCTATGTCTTCTTGCGTCAGGCCCCGTTCATGTTGTGGCTCATCCGTTGATGAAGCACGTCGGGTCTCTGAATGTCGCCAGCGCGCGCTTCTCCACCATCCTTATCTGCACAATCGTGATCGTCGTCGCCAGCGTCATCATCGCATCTGTCATCATCATAACCGTCGTGGGCGTCATTTTCCCAGCAGCCCTCATCATCATCATCGTCGATGTCGTCGCCCTCGTCAAGCTTCTGCGCGCGCATACCCTTTACCCTCATCAGCACCATCGTCATCATTACCGCCAGCGGCATAATTGCCACCGTCATGATTACCACCATCAGCGCATAACAATCACACATCACCAATGTCGTCGTCGACATCGTCCTGATCGTCTTCAGGAACGTCATTGTCATCGTCGTTGCCGCCACGCAGCTGGGTTCTGCCAATAAGCTTCGGGTGGATAGGCGGGGGCGACATGTGCGCGATTGGTATATATATATATATAGTTTCCCGGAAATGCATCTCACGCATTGGGCCGCATATATTGAACAATTTAAATGTCATCCTCTGGATGTTACCACATCTATTACGCAGACCTTAAAGCCGACGCTGCCGATCCTGAGGGGGGACGACGACGACGACGACGACGACGCTCACGAGCTCTCGTGGGCGCCCTTGTGGGCCCTGTTTTCACCTTCGGGACCCCCCCCCCCCCGGACCGCCCTGGGACGCCCCGCCCTAGGTTGGGGAAGGGACCGGGACCAAAGGGAAGGGGAGCCCCTTCGACTCGATTGGTGTTCCCCCGTTGCAGGTCTGTGGGGCTCTCTTGGGCCGTCTTGGTCAGGGAGGGGCAGTCGGTCACGGCCCCCCGGGACACCCCCGACGACGCTCCCCAGAACCCCCGGAGGGGACGGGATCAAAGGGAAGGAGCTTCCCTTCGACTTAATTCCGACGGGCGTTGTTCGATTTCCGTCCGGCTGGATCTCTTGAGGAGGATGGCCCAGAGAACGGGGGAGAGTGACGACGGCGACGACAACGACGATTCAAACGGAAAAGGGGAGCGGTGACGGCGACGATGACGATCCAAATGGACAAATGTTTCTCATTCGCCGATAGGGTACCTGATTTCACCGCATCTGTTACCTTCCATATCTGCAACGTCAATTTCTCAAAATGAATTGCATCTCGTAGGTTGCAACACACACGTATTGCACGTCGAGAATGAATCAGCTACGTTTTAGAGACCTGCGCTTGTAGACGTGTGTTTTAGTTTCTTTCGAAGATCTTGGAGGCGATGCCTTGATTGCATGATTTCTTCCTCTTGTGGCGCCCACGCGGGGGTAGCGCGACTGGGCGGCTTTTCAGACGTGTGGAGGGCTTTTAAAAGAAGGCGCGGGGGTTCTCAGAACCCCCCCCCAGCTGCTGAGAAGAAGTCCCTTGCAAGCAAGGATGTCACAGTGGTCCTTCACCCCTTGGCCTGAGACCCCTGGGCCTTGAAAGAAAGCCCCTGCTGCCTAAGCCCCCCCCCACACCATCGTCGGAAGGCCGCCGCCCTCGCCTCCAGGCAGCTTTCCTTCCTCGTTCCTCCCTCCGCCGCCCGCGGGCTCGGGTCGGCGAGCGGCGGTGCCTCCCCGGCGCAGCCAGGCACCACCGGCTGCAAGGTCCCCGAGAGCGTGTTCGGTGGCATGAAGGGCCGCGGCCCTCGGCGCGGGGCCGGGCGACGGCGAGGTTGTTTCGTTCGGGGCGTGCTGCTTCACGATCGCCCTCAGGGGGCCATGTTGGGGACCTGAAGCAAACCCAGGTGGTCGGGACCTCTGGGGCCGCGTATGGAGCAATGGTCGTGCCGACCGCCAGCATGAAGGAAAGGGGTCCCGAGGGCAATGGGTCCTGAGCCCTTTCGCCGTGTCCGGGCTCTCGGGGCCCTCCGCGGGCTCCGTAATCATCCAGAACGACTCAGGATGAGGAAGTGGTCACCAGAACCCAGTTCCTTTAGGGCCACCTCGAGGGTGTGGAGTTAGTCGCGCTTCGAGCTGCGCGAGTCCCTCATCCTGTTCCGGTAGGGGGGGGGGGGCGCGAAATTGCGAGGATCATCGCGCTTCGCGGAGCGCGGAGCGCGAAGATGGTTGCCGCAGTTTCCCTGAGGACCCGCTTGCCATCGCTTGCTTCAGCAGGTCTGTCCCGTGACGACGTCGGCGTTGGTTGCTGAAGCCGCCTGGATCGTTCCGTCTTGAGCGATCGCGGGTTCCCGCGCAGATCGTTTGATGTCGGCCGATTTCGAGCCAGTGGCGGCGTTCAACCTTGAACGCAGGCGTTGGGGTCGCCGCCACGGCGGCACGACACGAACCCATCGCGCCAAGGGGGTACAGGGCATGGGCCCCGAAGATCTTGACAGCTCTTCTCCAATCGAACTGCTGGAATCAGGACAGACACATCAAGACGAGTCGATTCAAATCCAGTCGAAACGAGGGGAAGTTTCAGAGATACCCAGATAATTCTGGACAGGAATTGAAGTTCCCCAGCTCGAGTCGAGGGACAACAGAAGTCGTCAGCCTGCCTCAACTGGTGCCAACTCATCCATACCCAACGCTTCGCGACATCCTCAGAGACACGCTTCCAAACCGGTTGATAGTAAAGGATACGCTCTTGGCGCGATTGGCATCGTTGGTTTGATTTCCTAGTCCCCGGGAGCCCCATTCGGGATCAATCCCAGGGCCATTCGCGCGAAATTTGTGAGAGCGATGGGTCTGAAAGCTTGGACGCCATGGCATTCGACGATGGCTGCATTTGAGAGTGAAAACAAGAGGGCCCGCAAGGCGACGTCTGCGGCAAATCCCAGGGAAGGCGTCGGGAAGTGAGGCGCCAACAACCTCAACGCGCGCGTTGTTGTCGAGCCGACGTATCCTTTCCTTACCAGATGGCCCCACATGCAAGCCTGGCAGGGAAGGCGCTGAAGGGCACCCATCCGTGAGAGTCTAGCTGCAGCGAGGAGGAGGAGGAGGAGGAGGAGAAGCTCTGGACCTCAATGAGCAGGTCGCGCGAAGGGGCACGCTTCAGCGGATATCGAGGCCGACCTGATTGAATCTACGGTTCAAAGATGAGGTCTTGCGAGGGGTCGAGAGTTGCTGAGGATGGGTTTGAGGCACCATCGACCTCAGGGTCCCATTATTCATGGCCCCTTCTTGGAACAACCGACTGAAGTGCCTCCCATCACCCGGTCAGACTTGCGCCAAGGGTACACTTACGCCGTTGCCGGAGACCACGACGGCGTCGGCTCCATACAGACCGTGCTGAACACCGTGAAGAGGCGAGGGTCTAATTGGCGAGACCGCGACGAGGCACCCGCTGGTTCTGTCCTCGTCGATCCTCTTTCTCAGGGGCACCGAGAGGCGAGCTTCGGCTCAGGGGGGGACGCATCGAGCCCCAACAGCCGGTTCCTCGCTGATCAGGGCTTGGCCCCCAGTATCGAAGGCATATCGCCGATCAATCGGCGATGTGTTGCCGATTCCAAGTGCATGATCCTCCCCTGCGCCAGTCCTCCCTTATCGTTCCCCATCTGCGACTCTCTCCTCCATGTCTAACTAATCTCCATCCGTCCTCCGCCTTCGCATCCTCTGCCCTCTCGGCTTCTGTTCTCATTCTGCCACCAGTCCTGCTTTCCAAGCCTTGCCCGTTGCATAGTTTCATGTTTCACGCCATCTCCATTATGCATTCCGTGACCTAGGCATAATGCCGTTGCAGTGATATGTTCGCGGCGGTGTCTGAGTCGAGAATGTTGTACCCAAACATTGGTTATTTCTTCCCACCCTTCGTGCGAACTGGCAAGCTCTAGACCTGCTGTGCAGTGAGGGGCGTTGTCATTCATAGCCCCCCCTGTCTTGCTGTCGCGAGGCCCGCCGCTTGGTCTGGCGTCGGAGGCATGCTCGCTGCGTGAGCGACGCCAAGCAGTGGAGACCGACTGCGCAGACATTCGGCCGCGGGGTGCCCGCGTGAGCTCGCGCGGAGGCGCCCTTGCTTCCACGCGGTGAGCCGCGTTGGCGGGCGGCGCCAGCCACCGCCTAAGGTTTGCCGTGTTCACGTGTGGGATGTCCCGTGGTCTTCGTCGCCGCTCCAGTCAGCGGGCCTCCCCCATTCCCCCCCACCCCCTCCGCGGCTGCCCCCCCCCTCTCTCAGAGCAGCATGTAGAGGCGCAGCTGGCTGCAGCGCCGCTCGCCGCTGTTCTGGCCGCGACCAGAAGGCGATTTCGCCGCTCACTTCTGCGCCCGCCGCCCGCCCGGGTGGGGCCGAACGAGCTCGGGCCACGTCCGCGGACACAGGCGGCTCGTAAGCGGCGGCGCCGGTGCCTGTCGCCCCCCCCCCGTTCCGCAAACGCCTCCCCCTCGCCTGTTGGGTGAGAGCCAGTCGAGACAACGGCGGCCCTCCTGGGCGTTTGCCGTCACCTGTGGGCTCCCCAGAGGCTCTTCCTCGCCACGGCCGTATCTTCTTCCAGAAATGGGCCATGGGCGGGGCGGGAGAGCCGCCGTTGTCTCCACTGGTCCTCCTCCAAGCATGCCCCCTTCCCCTCCCCCATCCATCCCTCCCTCCTCCCTCCTCCCCATCCCTCCTCCTCGTCCTCGTTTCGTTTCCCCTCCTCCCTCCTCCTGCTTCGACCTTCTTTGCCCCCCCCGGACCTCGCGGAGATAGACCACGGGGAGCCCCAGCGAGCAACAGGCTCGACGTCGTGATGGCTCCCTGCGGCCGAGCGTCTGGTCCAAGGTGACGCCAGGACCTCCAGGAGGCCCATGTGGCCTCCGTGTAAGGCCCAGGCGGGGCCACCACAGGTTGGCCCCAGAAGCTGGGGACCCCCCCCCATGGGCCAGGGACGCCCCTGGCGACAACCGACGGAGGTGCCCCAGGGGGCCGCCGCCGCGGCCAGGCGTACTCGAAGTACGAGCTCACGGAGACGGCCGAGGACCTCTTGGAGTTTCTCGGCCCCGCCGAGCAGGACAAGCTCCAGAGGACCCGTCCGTCGCCTCTTGCGGGGTCGAGCGAGCGAAAGCGACAGCGTGACGCCGCCAGTCGAACGGCGACGGCCCGTGCGGGTTGCAGGCACACTGTCGCGGGCGCGCTGGCCCAGGGAATTACCGTCGGGCACACCTCGAAAAGTCATCGGCGGGAGGTTTGGCACGGGGTCCTGGTGTCGTCAGAAACGACTCGGGGTAAAAACTCGTCCTGTGGAAGGGGCTACTCCTCGTGTGGTCCCACGCTTCTGAGGGGAATTATGCTAACGGAGTTCCCCACATAAAGATGTTACGGGGTTCCATTGCTTCTTGTCTGCGCTCTGGTGGGGCCTCCCTGGAGGGGTGGGAGGGGCACGAAACGTGATGAATAATATGGTGTGCGAATACCCTGCCCGCTCAGGCGGGGCCTCCCTGGAGAGGTGGGAGGGGCACGAAACCTGATAAATAATATGGTGTACGGATACCCTGCCAGCTCTGGTGGGGCCTCCCTGGAGGGGTGGGAGGGGCGCGAAACCTGATAAATAACATTGTGTGCGAATACCCTGCCCGCTCTGGTGGGGCCTCCCTGGAGGGGCGGGAACGGCACGAAACCTAATAATAAAATATGGCGTGCGAATACCCTGCCCGCTCTGGCGGGGCCTCCCTGGAGTGGCGGGAGGGGCACGAAACCTGATAAATAATATGGTGTGCGAATGCCCTGCCCGCTCTGGTGGGGCCTCCCTGGAGGGGTGGGAGGGGCATGAAACCTGATAAATCATATGGTGTGCGCATACCCTGCCCGCTCTGGCGGGGCCTCCCTGGAATGTTGGGAGGGGCGCGAAACCTGATAAACAACATGGTGTGCGGATACCCTGCCCGCTCTGTTGGGGCTCCCTGGAGGGGTGGAGGGGCACGAAACCTGATAAATAACATGCTGTGCGAATACCCTGCTCGCTCTGGTGGGGCCTCCCTGGAGGGGTGGGAGGGGCACGAAACCTGATAAATAACATGGTGTGCGAATACCCTGCTCGCTCAGGCGGGGCCTCCCTGGAGGGTGGGAGGGGCACGAAACCTGATAAATAACATGGTGTGCGAATACCCTGCTCGCTCAGGCGGGGCCTCCCTGGAGGGGTGGGAGGGGCACGAAACCTGATAAATAACATGGTGTGCGAATACCCTGCTCGCTCAGGCGGGGCCTCCCTGGAGGGGTGGGAGGGGCACGAAACCTGATAAATAACATGGTGTGCGAATACCCTGCTCGCTCAGGCGGGGCCTCCCTGGAGGGGTGGGAGGGGCACGAAACCTGATAAATAACATGGTGTGCGAATACCCTGCTCGCTCAGGCGGGGCCTCCCTGGAGGGGTGGGAGGGGCACGAAACCTGATAAATAACATGGTGTGCGAATACCCTGCTCGCTCAGGCGGGGCCTCCCTGGAGGGGTGGGAGGGGCACGAAACCTGATAAATAACATGGTGTGCGAATACCCTGCTCGCTCAGGCGGGGCCTCCCTGGAGGGGTGGGAGGGGCACGAAACCTGATAATAACATGGTGTGCGAATACCCTGCTCGCTCAGGCGGGGCCTCCCTGGAGGGGTGGGAGGGGCACGAAACCTGATAAATAACATGGTGTGCGAATACCCTGCCCGCTCAGGCGGGGCCTCCCTGGAGGGGTGGGAGGGGCACGAAACCTCGAATACCCTAGGGGTGGTGGTGTGCGAATACCCTGCTCGCTCAGGCGGGGCCTCCCTGGAGGGGTGGGAGGGGCACGAAACCTGATAAATAACATGGTGTGCGAATACCCTGCTCGCTCAGGCGGGGCCTCCCTGGAGGGGTGGGAGGGGCACGAAACCTGATAAATGAACATGGTGTGCGAATACCCTGCTCGCTCAGGCGGGGCCTCCCTGGAGAGGTGGGAGGGGCGCGAAACCTGATAAATAATATGCTGTGCGAGTACCCTGCTCGCTCAGGCGGGGCCCCCCTGGAGGGGTGGGAGGGGCACGCAACCTGATACATAACATGGTGTGCGAATACCCTGCTCGCTCAGGCGGGGCCCCTTCTGGAGAGGTGGGAGGGGCACGAAACCTGATACATAATATGGTGTGCGAATACCCTGCTTTCTCAGGCGGGGCCCCCTCTGGAGGGGTGGGAGGGGCACGAAGCCTGATAAATAACATGGTGTGCGAATACCCTGCTCGCTCAGGCGGTGCCCCTCTTCAGGGGTGGGGGGGGGCACGAAACCTGATAAATAATATGGTGTGCGAATGCTCTGCCCGCTCAGGCGGGTCCTCCCTGGAGGGGTGGGAGGGGCACGAAACCTGATAAATAACATGATGTGCGAATACACTGCTCGCTCAGGCGGGGCCTCCCTGGAGGGGTGGGAAGGGCACGACACCTGATAAATAACATGGTGTGCGAATGCTCTGCTCGCTCAGGCGGGGCCTCCCTGGAGGGGTGGGAGGGGCACGAAACCTGATAAATAACATGGTGTGCGAATACCCTGCTCGCTCAGGCGGGGCCTCCCTGGAGAGGTGGGAGGGGCACGAAACCTGATAAATAACATGGTGTGCGAATACCCTGCTCGCTCAGGCGGGGCCTCCCTGGAGGGGTGGGAGGGGCACGAAACCTGATAAATAACATGGTGTGCGAATACCCTGCTCGCTCAGGCGGGGCCTCCCTGGAGGGGTGGGAGGGGCACGACACCTGATAAATAACATGGTGTGAGGAAAGGCATGGTATGGTATGGGATGGTGGATGCATGGTACGGTATGGTAAGGTATGGTATGGAGTGGCATGGTATTGGTATGGTATGATACAGTATGGGATGGTGGAGGAAGCGGGAGGAGGAGGAGGAGGAGGAGGAGGAGGAGGAGGAGGAGAGGATGTTCTGGGAAAACAAGAACCCCACTCAGGATGTGGGGGAAAAAAACGCCGGGGGTATGGAAGATTACGACCTGGCGCTGATCGTCATACAAATCACTCTTGTTCGCGTGCGCACGTCACACATCCAGACCTCGGGTTGTGTGCGCAGGAGGGAGAGAGAGAGAGAGAGAGAAAGAGAGAGAGAGAGAGACAGGGAGACTACAATAATACAACGTGAGAACCAGGAAGGTATGGCCAGGCACGGCGGGCGATGCCATTGTGATGCGGTGAAAATTGTCGGGCCGCGCTATGGGAGGAAAAGAAGGGGGAGGGGGCGGGCGGCTCCTGGGGGAGGGAGGCGGCCGGGGGGCGAGAGCCCTGTCCAGTTGTCCAGTTGGGAGCGCCGAGCGAGGCGTGTCCGCAGACGCGGCACAGCGGATGAAAGGACGAATCTCAGGATGAGGAGGATGAGGAGGAGGACAGGGACCAGCGCAGACCCAAGACTCATCGTTGACGTTGGAACAAGCCCTCCCTCCAAGCTCCCTCTCTACAAGGATGCTTTTCGCATCAGAGAGAGTGCCACGTTGGGAGCCAGCCGATTCAGGATCCTGAAGCGTGCCAAACACCATTCTCGTGTTGCGTCAGGACGATCCTGAATCGTGCCAGAACATTCCTGGGACTTCGACACCGCGAATCAACGTAACTGTTGCGCCCTTACAATCCTGAATATTTGAAAGAGCGTGTTCTACCGCTGCTGGCGGAAAACCGGGGGGGGTCACTACTGGTTCGAACCCCTCCCCCCCCCCCCTCCGGAAAACCGGGGGGGGTCACTGCCGGTTCGAACCCCTCCCCCCCCCAGTTCATCCTGAAAAGGGGGGGGGTCACTACCGGTTCGAACCCCCCCCCCCCCTCGAAAACCGAGTGGGGGTGCGGACAGTGGTGGGGACGGTGTTGGTGGGGACAGTGGTGAGGGGACAGCGGGACAGTGGTGGGGACAGTGGGACAGTGGGACAGTGGTGGGGACGGTAGTGGTGGGGACAGTGGTGGGGACAATGGTGGGAACGGGGGGGACAGTGGACAGTGGTGGGGACGGTGGTGGTGGGGACAGTCGTGTGGGGACAGTGGGAATGAGGTGGAAACAGTGGGATAGTGGAGGGTACAATGGTGGTGGGGACAGTGGTGAAGGCGGTGGCGAGGACGGCGGTGGGACAATGGGACAGAGGTACAGTGGGGACAGTGGTGGGGACAGTGGGGACAGTGGTGGGAACAGTGGGACAGCTCAGTGGGACAGCGGAGGAGTCAGTGGGACAGCGGGGACAGTGGGGATAGTCGGGCAGTGGTTGGGTCCGTGGAGACAGTGGGGAGAGTGGAACCGTGGTGGGAACAGTGGTGGGAACAGTGGGGGACAGTTCGACAGTGGTGGGGGCACTGGTGGGGACAGTAGGGACGGTGGTGGAACCAGTGGGGACAGTGGTGGTGAGGACAGTGGTGCTGGGAACAACAGTGGGATGTGATGTGGACGGTGGTAGGGACCGGGAGTCGTTTGCTGGCGGTGCGTGGGGGGAGGGGGGTCGAACCGGTAGTGACCCTCCTCCGGTTTTCGAGGGGGGGGGGGGGTTCGAACCGGTAGTGACCCCCCCCCGGTTTTCCAGATCCGGAGGGAGGGGGGGGGGGAGGGGTTCGAACCGGTAGTGACCCCCCCCGGTTTTCGAGGGGGAGGGGGGGGGGGGTTAGGGGAGGGGGGGGTTTTGCCGGGGGAGGGGGGGGGGGGGGTAGGGGGGGGTCCAGCAGGGGGGGGGGGGGGGGGATTTTCGGAGGGGGGGGGGGGGCGACCCCCGGGCTCCGGAGGAAAAGGCTGGCAATTTTCCATAGTAAAGCGGCGGTGGATCACGCTCTCTCGAATATTTAAACCACAAGTTTTGGTGCGGTGGCCATGGGAATAAGTAATACGTTGTAAATGTTTGAGACGAGTGTGCGGGAGCGCGAAGGCTAGATACACATTTTGACAAGGAACCGCCCTCAATACATGAACCCCTTACTTCTTTTCAAAACGACGGTGCGCGGCGCCAACGCGAGAGCCACATTTCGAAAACCGCCCGCCTTCAATCCATGATATTCCTGGGGATTTTCTAGGACGAGCGCGCGCTGCACTAAGGCAATAGCCACAGTTTGAACGCCACCCGCCTTCGATCCGTGAAACTCTTGCAGCGGTTTGAGACGAATATGCGAGGCGCTGGGGCAAGAACCACACTTTGAAACTCACCCGCCCTCCATCCGTGAAACTGTTGTCCATTTAGTTTCATGACCAGAGATGGTAAGGAAGTCTCAGGCGGAACTCCCAGCCCGCCCTGTCGACCAGCCCTGGCGTGAAATGGGGAGGAGTTATCTGTAGGAACAAGGAATTGAAGAGAATGTCAAGAGAGGGGAGAAGGGTGGAGGACGAGGACGAGGACGAAGAGAGGATGGGGGGTTGGGGGTGTGGGGAAGGGGGATGATCGGAGGAGGGCCAGTTCAGACAAAGGAGGCTCTCTCGCCCAGCCCAAATCCGCTCAACATCTGTCCCCAGACCGCTCCCTGGCCCACCCTGGCATGTTCTTCGAGGCGGATCTAGCCGTGGCTACGAGGAGCTTCAAGGGGGCCGTCGTCACCCGCCGACGCGAGGAGGGAGGGGGACGATGGCGACCTGCGCCCCGAAGGACGATCGCGGGCGTCCTGGACGTATTCGCCGCCCTCGAGCCCGAGGTCTCGGAGCCGTACGACGGACAGGCCCCTCTTGCCCGTTTATTTTGGTCGACATCCTCCTCACCATCGTCCACCTCTATCAGCATCAGAGGAGGACCAGTCGAGATAACTGGGCCCCCCCCTGGCGTTTTTCCGTCCTTTCCGAGTCTCCTGGAGCCTTCTCGCCGCCACGGTTGGATCCGCGTCGTAAGACAGGTCAGGATGGACCCCGCCGAGAGTTTGGAGACCGAATTCCAGCGTATGTCGGTTGGGCGGAAGAGCCGCCGTTGTCTCAATTGTCTCTATGACGGTTTCATCCGTAAGCGTTTCGGACATACGAGCGGGTGTTTTTTTGTTCGCATTGGTGTCGAAGCTGTTGCTTTCTATCGTTGACTTGTGTTATCTATCCAGCTTTCTCTTGGTAGACCCGTCGATTGAAGTAAGTGCGCTCTCCTCGCCTGGATCCCACGCCAACATGTTTCACCATGCCTCCTCGCCTCCTTAACACGGTCCTCCATCTACCCGAGCTCCTCGCCCTGTTTCTCACCATTCCAGACCCATCTCTCTTTCTCCATCACTCTCCCTCCCCATCATCCTTACTGCCCGCGCCCTCAACCTTCATGACAATCCCCGTCCCTCATGCTGCTCATCATCCTATGGTGCAATTCTGGGGAGGTTAATTTGAGCGCCTGTTCTGATCCATCAGTGATCGGAAGTCGTCCCGAAACATATTTACTGCAATTAATTGTAGCCCAACTCGGTTTAATCCGTTTTAATCCTGAGCTCGTTCACGTTTTCTCTGGATGCGTGGATTTTTGATCGGGCTGCATAAGTTTGAATGGTTCTCACGGGGAACTCCCAGGAGTTGTCTCCTACAGTCTGACCGCGCCATGAGGATGAGTATCTTTACCACGGCCGCCCTTGCATCCGTGCATTGCTTTTTCTCTTGGTCCCGACGCCCATTCGGCAAGATCGGTGTCTGTTTACCCTTGCATAGGTAGGATTCTGACCTTGCGCGGCTCAACAGGTGTGATTTTGGGTTTCCAAGATAGTTGCATCTTTACGTACATGCCGCGCATTTGTTTCCTTCGTCGTCCTTGGCCGTGAGGGGTGGCGCTGGGCGCTTGGCGGCCTCAAATCGTCTGATGAAATGGTCTCATGGACGACAAGTAACCCACGATCGGCAACAGTGGTTGTACCCTCTGGGTGTCCGTTCAGCGTCAAGTCCTGGAGCGCTCTAACCCTGCCCGCGGCAGTGCTTTGACTGAGCCCTCTTTGAGCATGAACGCCTTCTGCATGCTTTGCACCTCCCTCCTCTTCGCACGGAGATTACTCGTTCGTAAACTTGCTTCTGCTCCTACGCTCCGTGGCCCTCGTAGCCGTTGAGTCAAACCTCTGTCAGGAAGGATGCCGTAAGGGACCCACGAGTCGCGAGCCCGTAGCTTCGGTGGGCCAGCACGGGCGCCCACGAACACCGCCGGATTGGGCACGCGCGCCACCGCAGGCGATGATATGAACGTTCGGGGGAGAGAAAGATGGATACATGTACAGTATATATATACACACACCTTTTATGTGCATTCTTGGAGAGAGAGAGAGAGAGAGAGAGAGAGAGAGAAAAAAAAAAAAGAGAGACAGCAAACAAATAGATTGAGACCAGAACATGAGAACAAGCACAAGCATCAAGACAATCTGCAGCCGCTCGTCGGGGGCGACGGGCGCAGCCAGCTCGTGACCCTGGCGGCCCTGCGCCCGGCCCGCAAGAGCCTGATGATGCGAGGGGGCCAGACGCCCGAGCCGCCGAGAGCACCCCTTCCCTCCCCGGGCTCCGCCGGGCGCGAGGAGGAGGAGGAGGAGGGGGAGGGGGAGGAGGGGGACGAGGAGGAGGAGCAGGGTCCGTCGAGGGGAGGAGGAGGAGGAGGAGGAGGAGGAGGAGGAGGAGGAGGAGGAGGAGGAGGAGGAGGGGAGAAGGAGGAGGGGGAAGAGGAGGAGGAGGACGGCTGCGTTCGACCGAACTCCGATGCCGACAGCCTGAGCCCGAGAAGGAGGAGGAGTATCGGAGGAGGGTCAGTCGAGACAACGGCGGCCCTGCCCGGCGTTTTGGCTCCCCCTCGCGCTCCCCCCCCTTTTATCACCACTTGTACAGGCATTCGGTTGCACAAGAAGAAGTAGGGAGGGGAGGGTTAGAGGGAGTGGCTCCCCCACCCCCCTCACTATCACCCTCTCTTCGTCACATCCGACCCTCATCTCCAGAGGGTCGGCGTCGACGGGGGCATGGTTCGACTGCCGACCGGAGCCGCTGCCCGCTCCGAACAGAAGGCGTGGTTGCCCAGTCTCTCTGCGAGCGCGGCCCACTCGTGATTCACATCGTCCGCCAGCGGCCGCCGTCAGGCAGGCCCAGGATGAGGACGCGTACGTCGATGTCGAGCGCTCTCAGAGCCTTATGGCACGCTCCGGAACCGGCCGCGGAGCCCGATACGGTTTCTGCCCCCGTGGCTCCTATAGTCTGGCAGGGTCCCGAGGTGACCGCATGGGGTTGATATTCGTCTTGCATTCGTCTTGTGGCGGACATCGGAGTCCAGGAGCGACCGCTACGGGACGTTGCTGGACAGCGCTTGTTTTCTGGATATCGTCCGCAGGCCTTATGTCCCTCTCGAGGACGACCATATCCATAGCCATTCTCTCGCGGTCTGGACACCGAGGCGCGATCCCATGGATACGCGACGCCACGTACACGTTCTCGCGGGGGGGGGGGGTCCGCGCAGAGCCGCCCCGTATCCACGGAGTCGTGGCCGAGGAGTCCATCAGATCAGGGGGCAAGGGCAGGCGGAGACTGGCCCACTCCGATCACCCATCCCTCACAGTTCGAGACCTGGGCCCCCTCTTCCCACACAGAGACGCTCGGTTCCGCTATCGAGGGCCAATCGCTGATCTTGTCGGCGATGGATCGCCCAATCCAGGTCAATGATACCCCCCCTCCCCCCGAGCCAGTCCTCCCCCACTGTTTTCCTTCAGCCGCCCGGATAGCGAGACCGTGGATATCGATACGTTTTTCGCCCGCGAGCCCCGTCCTGATTTCCCCGCTCTTAAGAGCGGCCTCCCTGCTCTCCAAGCCCCCAGTGCGAGGGAGGCTTCCGCGGCTTCCGCGCGGGGTCGGGCTCCCGGAGGAGGTGGTGAAAATGGCGCTGCTCCAGGACGCTCCCCGCCTCTTCCCGCGTCGAGGTTCGAAAGCTGTTGGGCGTGGTTCTCCGTCCTTTGGCCTCCAGGAGGCTCCTTGCCGCCACGGCTGGAAGCCCCTGGAGACCCTGTCCAGATCGCAAGACCACTTCGATCCGATCGGTTCGATCATGACTCTGGCCGGCCGGGCCCGATTCGGTTCCGATGTTCCGACGATGGTGATGCGGCTCAACGCTCGCATGCGGTCCGACGTTTGCATGGCGCTGCTCCAGGACGCGCCCCCTCTTTGCTTGTCGAGGCTCGAAGCTGCTTTGGTGTTATTGGGCATCTTGAGTTTGTGTGTGTGACCTTGGCGCACCGACTTCAGACACGCCATGGACATCGTATGCTGGCTATTCCAGCACATTCAGGCAGCCACCCTGGACCGCGACCACTTCGACCCACTGGCCGCGGAGCTTGTTGTAGGACAGGCAACCCTGCGGATGAACCCCTTCGCGCAATGGACTACATAACCACCTAACGCGGACTTCGACGGCCACAGCCCCCACCTAACGATCCCAGGGACGCGCGACGCCCGGTCCCCAGACGAGGGGCTCACATCCCACAGCATGACAGATGGCGCCAATCACGCTCTCGGAAATCTGTGGGAGCGGGTCTACCACCAGCACCTGTCAGACAGGCAGCGCGGAGGGCCAGGAAGAAACACGAGAGGCAGGGAAGCGGGATGCGAAGCAGAAGGATCTGGATCTGCGAATTGGGGCACCACTGCGCCTCGCCCCTAGGCCCTTCCAGTTTTCCGCCATTGGCGTCGGGGCTGGGAGGTGCCCGCGAGGTCGTCGCATGGCCAGGGGCAAAAAGAGGAGGATCTGGAGTGGGAGCTACTTCGGGCTCACGAAGGCGAAGCGAAGATATACTCTCACCTTTTCCCCTCCTCGCCTCACGGCGCGCGCGCGCGCCCGCCGGCATGTCCGCGCTCGAGGGTGGAGACTGGGGTCGCTAACTGGCGCGCCGTCGCCCGCCACGGCAAGGCTGGCGCCGCTCGACAGCGAAGCCCTGCAGAGTCGCCCGCTGGCGCCTGCGAAGCTGAAGGCGAGTGGAGTCTGGCGCGCCGTTGCTCCCATGCTCGTCCACTCCTCTTTCTTCCTTCCCCCCTCTCCCCCTGCCCCCCCGCCTTCCTCGCCCGCCTCCCCTGCTTGCCCCTCGGCCGCCGCCGCGCCCCCCCCCCCTCCCCCTCGACCCCCCTCCCCGGTTTTCCCGCGCGCCGCCCTGCGGACGAACGCAGACCTGTTCGCCGCGGCGCCAGGCGCTCCTGGAGCTGCTCTGCCAGGCGAAGGCGTGGCCATCACCGTAGCCCGCGTCTGGGTCGCCGACTCCGCAGCGGCCGTTCACGCGCGGCGCGCCGTCGCCGCGGTGCCCGCGCGGGGACTGCCGCTCGCGCAGCACCTGCAGGCGCCCCTGCAGTTGGTTGGCCGCCACAGGCTAAGCCATCCGCTAAATCAGCTCTCGGCGATAGCGGAGAGCGCGTCGTTCGTTTTGTCAGCTCAACTCCATTTCGGCGCAGGGATCATCGAGGTGCGCTTGAAGCGGCTGGCTTCGTCAACGGCGTGGAAGAGGGACTGTGGTTAGCCAGTAATGTATGGCCGCTTCGGTGGCTCCTGCCCTCCGGGAGTTAGCTGGCGAACAAAGTATGCTCTTCCTCCGACGGCCGCGCCGCGCCGGGCCCTTGGCGGCGCAGATCTAAGCAGACGCGCGCTGGGGCCTGGTCCGCCCCGGGCAGTGGCGCCAGAGTGGTCGGCGGAGCAGCTGCTGGCGCGCTCCGCCAGGCGCGTCGCTGAGCCGGTCATTCGCGCGCGCAGGAGCCACCCGCGCGAGGCTCAGTCTGGAGGCGGGGTGCCCAAGCGGATGCCATTGGCTGGCCGGGGCCAGCGCGGTCTGTCGAGCACTGCCAGAGCGGCGCCAACGTCGGGGCGAATGTCGCTTTCGGCCGCAACTTCGCCGTCTACCAAAACGGCGGTCGGATGGCGAGTCCGGCCAGGCGTCCTCTACAATTCTTTACGCTTCGCGTATCCCCACCAGCCCATCTCACAGCAGCAACTCTTGCGAAGCATGCCGACAGTCGTGTTTTTCAGGCGTGTGTCCGCTTGGCCCCGCATATCTCCCCTGTTCCTTGTTCCCCCCGCCTCCTTGTACATCCTCCTTGTGGGGGGAGCGGGAAAAGGACGAGGCGGAGGAGGAGGGAGAGAGAGCGCTCCTCGTGATTTGAGTCGTTTGTGGTTTCTCGTCCTGGTGTGAGTCGTTCGGGCCCTTCTTCCTGGTGTGAGTCGTTCGGGCTCTTCGTGTGTGAGTCGTTCGGGCTCTTCGTCCTGGTGTGAGTCGTTCGGGCTTCTCGTGGTGTGAGTTGTTCGGGCCCCTCATCCTGGTGTGAGTCGTTCGGGCCCCTCCTCCTGGTGTGACTCGTTCGGGCTCCTCGTGGTGTGAGTCGTTCGGGGCCCGCGTCGTGGTGTGAGTCGTTCGGGCTCCTCGTGGTGTGAGTCGTTCGGGCGCCTCGTCCTGGTGTGAGTCGTTCGGGCCCTTCCTTGTGGTGTGTGTCGTTCTGGCTCCTCGTGGTGTGAGTCGTTGGGGTCTCTCGTCCTGGTGTGAATCGTTCGGGCTCCTCGTGGGGCCTCTTGGGGGCCTCTTGGAGCCTCTTGGAGCCTCTTGGGGGCCTCTTGGGGGCCTCTTGGGGGCCTCTTGGGGGCCTCTTGGAGCCTCTTGGGGCCTCTTGGGGGCCTCTTGGAGGCCGCTTGGGGACCTCTTGGGGCGTCTTTGGGGCCTCTTGGGGGCCTCTTGGAGGCCTCTTGGGAGCCTCCTGGGGGCCTCTTGGGGCCATCTTGGGGCCTCTTGCGACCTCCTCAGAAGCGCAGATGAGCGTTGCCCCCTGAGAAGGACAAAATGAGCCCAAAACCTTTTTGTAAAATCAATGATTTTGCTATGAGGGAAGATGAGCGCGGCCCCCTCAGAAGGCCAAACATGGGGCCAAAACCCTAGTAAAATCAATGTTTTTGGCTTCAAAGACGAGCTGAGGCGCCAAACTCCCTCCCCCCCCCCGGGGCCAGAGTCCTCGTGAGGGTCGTCGTTTTTTGGCCCTCCCAAAAGTCGACAAAGACCCCCCTGACGACGCTCGGGACTCCCTCTCCAGGGGGAGGGGGTAGGGGGAGGGGTAAACCCCTCCCCGAGGGGGAAGAAGGGGGGTTGAGGACAGAGAGAGCTCGCTAAACCACTCACGCCCAAAGGGCTGGTGGGATTGAGATCAGGGCGCCCGCCGACGCATCCAATTCGCAAGGCGTTTGCTGTTTCGCCCTAGCATGGGCGGCAGCCGAGCGCATCGCGCGGCCTGACAGCGAGGTGATTATCGCCCAGGCGGTCGCCTCGTATACAGAGCTTTCGGCGCGCCCTTGGTGGGGCGCAGAGATGAATTGCGCAAGGATTACCGCGCCGAGTCGGTCGCCGCCGCGACCCGGTCCGGTTGGCGCAAGTCTTTTGGCACCCTCGCGACAAGTGCACGTTGGGTCGGGACTTGTTGTCCCGGGAATTCGGCGCAGGTGATGCGGTTACCATTTGAAGCGCGAGCGTTCGAAGTCTCAGGGATGTTTCAAACAGGCGTTTCCCCTGAATGCCGATAGCTACTTCGACGACCACTGGTCGCGGGAGCCGCCTTCGCGCGCAACGCCAGCCCGCTCTGTCTCCAGGGAGGTGCTTGAGATGCTCGAATGCGGCACTAATGGGGCCAAGGCCAGGCGTGGTTTCGCGATCGCTTTGTTGGTGCTGGTATTTAGCTTTCGCACAGAAGGGCCCCTCGTCGGCAACCGCAGTGGCAGGCAGGGACCGCTAGCTCTGGAGCGCGAGGACATGGCGCGCAGCCCCCCGCAGGCGGTCGCAACACCCGCGTCGCAGGGCCTACAGAGCGAAGCCGGCGTTTTCGCCAGGCGTCCATTTTTTGAGGTAGGGCAAAAAGAAACCCCCCACAGGGCGGGATCTTGGCCGCCGCAGGTGGAAGTTTCCCTACACTTCTGGGCGGAGCTGGTCAGGCGAGGACCCCCTCGCGCAGGGCCCCTGGTGCCCGTCGGCGCCCCAGTCGCTGAGCGCGAGCAGGATCGTCAATGCGTGTTTTGTTTTGTTTGCGCGAAGGCTTCAGCCTCGTCCTCCGGCCTGCTGCGCCAGAGACGTCCGGACCAAACGCTAAATGCGCCGTCGATGGCGCCGAGACATGGTGGATTGCCAAGGCGCAAAAGGTGCGGGGCGAAGATCTACGGTTGTTGTCTCTTCTTGTACACATGCGGTGGCAGACTCCAGGTGCATCAAGGGGTCCGTCCATTCCCCCCACGTCGCCTGCGTGGTCGGGGCAATGCACGATTTGGTGTGTACCTTCGACACCAGGTGCTCGTTTGAGTACGTTCGCTGGCTTCAAACCCCTTTGACGCAACCTCCAGCGAGGGCGGGGGGCAGCCCTTCGTGAGTTATGGGCGAAAGTGGTCGCTGCCACCCCCACCCACGTTGGATGTCAGCTGGTGCCTTTGTCCATCGTCGGCAGGAGCCGCGGCGCTGCTCAAAAAAGGGGTTCCTCGCGTCGTCGGTGTCGCTTGCGATTGCTGCTGATTCCGCTTCTTCGCCACGTCGTCGTTGTCGTCATTCGTCGTCGTCGCCGCTGTTGTCGCCGCCGGCGTCCTCGTCGTCGCCCGTTCCCCCCTCCCCCTTTTCCCTCCTGACCCCCCCCCTTTGCCTTCTCCCCCTCTCATTTGGTCCGCGTTGCCCTCTTCTTTTGTCGAGGCAGGAGCGTCTGCCCCCCCAGGTCCAGAGCCGGCCGGCCAGCAACTGTGGGAAAGAGCAGGCAGGGGAGGACGACGGAGGACGACGAGGAAGAGCGCGACGAGACGGACCACAGACGAGGAACGCACGACGGAGGACAAGAGGTGACGACGCCGCGCGCGAGCGGCAGCCACGCCTGGCTTGAAGGCTCCTGCGGCGGCCAGGGCGCTTCCCGCGTGGCACCCAGGTTGCACCGAGTGGGGCCTGCTCTCCCTCGCGGCGCCCCGCCTTGGCGGCGCGGGCCACGGCCCGGGTCGTGAAGCCCGGGTCGTGAAGCGCCAGTTGGGCGCTCGGGCTGCCCCAGATGGCGCCCGAAGCGCCGCGCAAGCTTCCGAGTCCACTGGGGTCGCTCTTTGGCCCCGCCGGGTCCTTGGCTACGCCGCCGTCTGCCCCGCAGGGCCTTCTGGCCCCGCTGGCCGCGGTGGCGACAGCAGTCCGCGGCACTGCCCGCGCGTCGCCTCATCGCGGGGTAATTACAGGCGCTCTCTGCCGCCGCGGCGGCCGGCGGCCCAACGACTGCATGGGGCATTTTTGTTGAAACGCTGGGGCGGGCATCTGAGAAGCACAATGGGGACATGATGGTGGCGGCGTGCAGGCATAAAAGGCTGCACCCCTTTGGCATCCAGATGGGGCCCCGTCCCGCCCCGCCCCGCCAGGTGCTGAGGGTTTGACAAGCCCGCGCGTCGGGGGTACATGTCGTGAGCTTGGCAGACACATTGGTGCAATGTCGTTTCTTGTGCAAAACGGTGCCGTCCGCTCTTCGGACGTACGCGTCTCATCTGCGCCTGGTCGCGTGGGCGTGCGAACTGTTCGGACCCCCCCCGTGGGGGTGCGCCGTGCAAAACATTCGCCGGGTCGCGGCCGCGTGCGTTCGCGCCTCTACCCAAACCGGCTGGTTTAGCGCGCGGGCCCTGGAAAAGGATCAAGATCTCATCCTCCGTGGTATCCGCGCGGGCACTGCTAAGTGCAGGACGCCCCGGTTGTCCCGTCACACGGTGGACCAGCGGCTCTTGCGGCATCAGTCCCGCCCCGCGATGTCGGTGCAACGCACGTGGTGGTTTGTCATCGCCATCGCAACTGTAGGGCACATGTTTCTTTTGCGACTGTCGTCCGAATTGTTCGCGCAGTCCGAATGCGCCCTCGTGCAGCCGCAGGGCGGTCGATTCGTGCATGGGCCAATCCGTCGCAAGCAAACGTTGAATCTGTGATTTCCATTCGCACGTGCGGGGTGGTCGCGGGCATCTGCCTGCATACATGGTTGCCTGTGTGGGACCAGCTCTCCCACAGCGGGGACCGCCCGCTTGTCGGTGCACCCCGGCATCCTGGACGTCGGAGTTTCGGTGCCACTTGCGCGCTATAGGGGTTGCTTGCCCCGAGGAAGGCTTTGGGCAGGATGTTCGGCGAGGCGCCGCTGCCGACGTTTTTGCTGCGTCGGGCGTGGAGGTCATGCTGGCGCGAGGCGGCTGGCGTTCGGCAGCGTCTGCCGGGCCCCACGTTTCTGGCGACGAGGTCGCCGCCGGCCTGCTGGCGCAGGGCGTTGTCGACGATTCCAGCCCTGAGAATTGGGGCGCCACTGTGCCCCGTCCTTGGGCCCCTCCCCGCGTTTCAACTTTCGCATTGGGGTTTGGAGCGGCCGGCGAAACTCGTCGTATATCCAATGGAAAAGAGGAGGACTTGGAGTTGGAGCTGATTCGGATTCACGAAAGTAAAGAAAAGTTCGACTCACTTCCCCCTCCCCGCTTCACTGTGCGCGCGAGTGCGCCATCCAGCATGTCCGTCGAGAGTGGGGTCGCTTACCCCGCCCTATTGTTACCATGTGTTTCCCCTTCCTCGTGCCAGGCCGCCACCGCGCCTCCTGCCCCTTGCTCTTTGTCGCTCCAGCCCCGCGCTAGGAGCTGAAAGCGGTTGGCGAGACTCGCCGCATGGCCAGCGGAATAAGGAACGGCATCTGGACTGGGAGCTGACGCGTTTGTTCCGTCAGCGCTGTGATACTAACATAAAGCACCCGAGCTGTGTAGTCGTCACGTGTCCCACCATCAGCTTTCACGGAGCGCGGCGTCGCACCTTGGCGGCCAGCGCGGCAGCAGTGGCTGCAGCCCCTGCTGACCTTGCAGCCGCCGTTCCCTTGCCACTGGCCTTGGGGCGCAGCGCCTGCGTGTCGAACTTCGCCTTGGAGAGGCGCTCCGCGTCGGCATCGAGCTGCGCCTCGTCAGTGTCCTCAACAGCCTTGGTCGGTTTCTCCAGTACCGCCGCCGATGCCGCCGCCCCTGCATGGTCCGCCGAGCCTGGAGCTGTCACCGCTTTATCACTGCTGGTTTGGTCCTCCCCGGGGCTGGACCCATCGTTGGCCCTCATTTTCTTGACCATCGGCTCCGTGATCACATTTCTCTGCTTTTGGACCGTGTCCATCCAGGGCTTGATCTCTGTCTCCCTGCCCTTCATGTCCTTTTTGACGCCCTTCAACTGGGACTGCAAGTTGTCGAGCGCCGCATTCTCCTCGGGAGTGGGCTCACGCACGTCCGCCCTCTCGAAGAAGGTCTGGTCCCACTGGGCTTGGAAGAGCGGGACAGTGCCGTCATTGATTTCGGGTTGCATGCCCTCTGCCTGCGTCAGCGCCGCTGTAGCGGCAACGCTTCTCATGTTCAGCCTTGGCGAAGCCCATTGCCGTTTGGTTATCCTTTTCCTCCGCCGTTGCCAAATTATGGCGGAGACGCTGACGACCGCCTGTTCGTGGAGGTGTCCGGCGTTGCGCCACACACCGTCCGCGCGGCGAAGAGCATCCATTGGACTCTCCTTCGACTTGGATCCCGCCTCGCCCCCCTTGGACATTTTCCTGAGCTGGATATTCAAGGTGGCCTGAAGGATTGTTCCTGGTGGCCGCTATCTTGTGCTGAATGAGCTCCCTCACCGAGCCGCCGTCTTCTCTGCTGCCCTTTCCGTGCTGGCCTCCAGGGGAAGAAGACCGTGCACGCCGAATGATGTTTGCAGGGTGCGGCTGGCGAAGTCCTTCAGCCTCGTTGCCACTGTCCGCGTCGAAGAAGTCGACGCCGTTCGTCACACTGTTGGCCACCAGGGCCATGTGAGAAACGAACACGACGCGGAATCTGGAAGAGGTAGGCGTTGTAGCCGCATTCTCTGCGCAAGCAACCACGATTGGACAGTTGCGTTCCATGCACATTCCTTGCGTGTCGTGCACTTGGTCCACAATTTCTGTGCTCCTGTCCTGTCCACCATCTGTGTTAGTCGGTATTATGTCGAGTTGGCGGGCGACATCAAAGAGTCCCTCGAGCGCTGCAAGGAAGCCCAGAGGTTGGGCGCAGATGCCAGAATGGTCTGAGCCCAAGTTGCTTGAGTGCACGAGGCATGGGGAGGATGAAGGAGCCGAAGGAGTCGGGATCTCTGGAGGAGGAAACGAGGAATGGGACGACGGCGATGTGGGAGAGGCAGGGGAGCAAGAGAAGTAGGGCGTCGACGACGTGGAGGTGGAGAACGAGGTGAGGGGAGGAGGGTAATGGCGACGGCGATGCCCAGAACGACGGCGACGACGGTCACGACTAGAAGGACGGCCAGGGTTGGCGACTGTGTTGGCGACAGCGGCAGTAACAACGATCCTCGATATCCGACGTTATGTGTTTTTGAATAGGGGCGTTGTTTCCTTGAGCTCTGCCTCTGATGCCCAGGTTGGGGTCACGGGGCAATCCAGCCCTCGCCATGGGCGGGATATTGGCCTGGGGAAGGGGGTGAGACGTATGGGGCCGCGCATCGAACACGTACACACAAAGCTACCTAGACGGCGCATTGGCACATAAAGAATACGAATTCGCACATGCAGGAAGAAAACAGACGGAAAAAAACTTGTAACCGATTCTGCGTGCAGGGCGAGCTTGTGTGCAACCATCAGAAATGTTGTGCCAGTGATTTGCTACTCGGTTATTTGCAAGCATCGAACACGTGCATTGTCTGGTGTTTGGGGAGCAGGTGGCGACGATGTTGTTAATGTTGATGGTGATGTTGATGCTGATGGTGATGCTGCGATGATGGTGAAGATGATGGCGATGAAGATGATGATGATGATGATGATGATGATGATGATGATGATGATGCTGATGCTGATGATGATGATGATGATGATGTTGATGATCATGATGATGGTTGTGGTGGTGGTGGACATGATGACGGTGATGGTGAAGGTCTTGGTGAAAGTGATGGTAATGGTGAGGTTGATTACGATGATGATGATAATGATGATATTGATGATGATGTTGATTGCGATGTTGATGTTGATGATGCTCATGATGAGCATATGATGCTGATGGTGATGCTGACGATGATGACAATGACGACGATGATGACGATGATGAAGATGATGATGCTGCTGATGATGATGATGATGCCGCTGATTATGATGCAGGTGAACATGACAACGATGATGCTGCTGATGACTCGGCGGATGAGGATGAGGATGCGGAGTATGGTGCTGATGCTGCTGCTGGCGCTGATCATGGTGAGTATGGTGACGACGACGATGCTGTTGGTGATGGTGATGATGATGGGGATGATGATGGTGATGATGATGGTGATGATGATGAGTCTGGTGATTATGATGATGGGGTCGCTGTTGTTGATGGTGATGCTGGTCATGATGATTTTGTCGTCATCATACTGGTGCTGATGATGCTAATGATGATGACGATGATGATGATGATGATGCTGAAGACGGTAACGATGATGATGATGTTGTGAATGATGCTGCTGATGATGATGATGATGATGATGATGATGAAGATAATGGTGATGGTGATGGTGATGGTGATGGTGGTGATGCGGATGATGATTCTGATGAGTATGATGATGTTGATAATGATGATGTTGATAATGATGATGTTGGTGCTGACGATGATGATGCTAATGATGCTAATGCTGCTGCGGCCAATGATGATGATGCTGATGATGATGCTGATGATGATGGTGATGATCATGGTGATCGTGATGGTGATGGTGATGCCAATTATGATGATGATGAGAGTCCTTGGCCTGATGGGATGGAGCCCCGCAGGAGATGTCGCCACTTCGAGAGGTCCCTGTGGACTTGCACCTGCCAGGTCCTCAACAGCCGCCGCGGGGTATTACGTTTGGGTTTTGCAGTAACCTGTTCTGGCCTTTATCTTCGTCTCCCCCTTCCTCCACCCCTCGAGGTCACGCGCGATGTCTTCTGCTCCCCGTCCCTCCACCGCTCGCCGTCCATTCCATGGCCCAATTATATTGGATCGATGCGATCAGATGTAGAGTTGATTCGCTTCGGCCATATTGTAGTGGCCTTCGGCCAGTGCCGCCGATCCGGGGCGCTCCGACTGATGTGATCCTTCTTCGCCCTCGTCCCTCCTCTCTTTTTCCCTCCCCTCCTCTCACTCAGCATTTATCCAGTGGCCGTCGGCCTATCCCGCCACCGTGCGTGGGTGGTGGGTCAGAGGCCTCATGGATGCTGGTTGGGATCTCGTGGTTGGCTGGGACTTCTGGGGGCCTCTTGGGCGCCTCTTGGGGCTTCTTGGGGGCCTCTTGGGCCTCTTGGGGCCACTAGAGGGCCTCTTGGGGGTCTCTTGGGAGCCTCTTGGGGCTTCTTGGGGGCCTCTTCTGCGCCCCTTGGGGCCTCTTGGAGGCCTCCTCGGAGCCTCTTGGTGCGGGAGGGGTGGTACTCGAGCTCGGAACCCCCTCGGAGGCCACGATCCTTGTGAGGGGTGTCAAAAAACGCATCCGCCGGAAACTCGCACCCCCCCCCTCCCCCCCACCCCCCCTTCCCCGGCAGAGCCACCCCGGCACCCCCCCCAGAGGCTGAGGCTCAGCCTCAAGGCTGTAGCTAAGACTCCTTGAAACTCACACGCCGGATCGGCGGATTTGATTTTGATTTCTGGCGATCTGATGCGGCCCGATGGTGGCATCGTAGCTGTGTATCAGTGCGCAGCCGATCCGATTCGATTTCGACCCCGACTGGATCGGTCCCGATCCGATGCGTGTTCCGATCCGATCCGATTTCTCGATCGGATGTTGACTGGTCCTGCGATTCCCGCTCCCTCGCTCCCCCCACCCTGCCCCTTCCCTGCGCGCGCGCCTCGCCTCCCTGCCGTGCCGACCGAGGCTGGGGCTGGGCCAGAAGGGGAAGCTGCGTGTCACCGACCCGCTGAAGTCTTTCCTGCGCATCGCAGAGAAGCGGCTCGGCTGGAGGCCTCTTGGGGGCACCGTCGCAGCCGCCGCCGATGGCGCGAGCCTTTCGGCCACCAACACGCGCGTGCGGTGGCCAGAGAAAGCATAACTCCGGGGTAACTGAAGGAGAGCACACTGCATAAACAGGAACGGAGGTCTGCTCGACGTTCTTGGATCAGCGCCAGACCCCCCTCCGCGCGGACTTCTGAGAGGTTCTACTGATGCAGCTTGCGTTGCTCTAGGTGGAAATCACTTCGGAGTGATGTGCGACACAGGAGCAAAGACAGGGGGGGGGGTCTGGTCCAGGGGGGAAGCATCGACCCCCAGTCGCCTTGTCCCGCCCATGCACGCTTGGTTTCGCTACCGAGCGCCTGCCGCAGATCTACAGGCGATGCATCGCCGATTCGAAGTCCATGTGCCTTTCCCCGCGGGGCGAAAAGGCCTACCTGGGGCTCCCAGCTATCCGCTGGCGGAGCAGCCTTGGCCGCGCAGCTCTTATATACTCGAACCAAAGGAGGGCAGACAAGGAAAACGAAGGAGCGGAGGAACAGGGAAGCGAGGAGGGGAGAGAGGAAGAGTGGGGGGGGGAGGACAACAGGAAAGGACAGCAAAGTCGATGCCCCCCCTTCCACGGTGCCTCCTCAGCGGGGGGGTCCTCGGCAGGGCCCCCGCCAGACGCACGGCGGAGGGGAGGCTCCCGCCCGTGGCCTTCGAGGACTGCCCGAGGTGCCTCCAGGGTGCCCCCCCCCCCAGGGATCAAGCATAGTTCCAGGTCCTCGGGCCCGCCCGCCCCCCTCCCCCCCCGGATAACTCAGGCGATCGCAAGTCTGGATCAAGGGGGCTCGGGGGTGGACAGAACCCCCAACAGTGACACGTCGGTTAGTGAATTGTCCGTTTTCGGTTCTCGAGAGGGCGCCGCGGCCGTCATTTTCCAGGCCTGCGCCCGCCAGGTTTGGGCCTCGGGTCGTTTTCACTAAACCACGTTTTACTAAAGGGAGGTCTGTCCATCCCCGAGGAGCGTGGATTAGCGACGGGTCCCGTTTCCATGGGGAAGTTGCGGATCTCCGCCACCGAGCGAGGCGGCACCGGCCGCATTTTGGGGAGGGCACCTCCCCCGATCCATGCTTGCGCGCTCCCAAAGAACCTGACCTGGACGGTTGCGCAGGTCCGAAAGGGGGTGCGCAGTAGTTGTGCGCCCGGGCATACGTGGGGTTGCCCAAAGCGGCCGACACTTCCCCCGCAACCCCCCCAGCGGATCACCCAGGCCTTCGCCAACAAAAAGCACAACGATCTCACGAAGATATACGTTTTCGCAGGTCCGCGCAGATTTCCTGGGTCGGCGCTGGGCCCCCCTGGCGTCGCCTCGGGCGCCGCCGCCCCTGGCTTGCTCCGCCCGCAAGGGAGGGGCTCCGGCGCCTGTTCAAGAAACTCGCGCGGACCTCTGATAGGGTATGGTTGTTCATGGGGTCCGAGTAGATGGGGTTGGAGGTCTCGCATCGTCGCCGATTTATCGGCAATGCGGATTGATGCGGAGCACAACTTTCTCCACGTCGACGTCGCCTATGCATCGCCGACGTCGCCGATGCATCGGCGATGCATCGGCGATGCGGCGGCGATGCGGCGGCGATGCGGCGGCGATGCGGCGCGGTTCTTCGACCCCATCTACTTGGTCGAGGCCTCTAAGTGTTTTTCGTCTGATGTAGGCGTGCCGAGGAGGAGACTTCTCTTGGGTCGAAAGAGCTTGCCTCGCGCATTTCAGTAGACCCCAGGACGTCATTGTGTCGTCATGCAGACGGGTCCTGAGGGAAACGGGATCCGAGGTGTGCCTCAGTTTTCGTCCTCAAGAGGCTGCAGTCAGAAAACAACCGAGGATGAATAATCACCTAGTCCTGGGGGAAGGCCCCGAGATCCAGGCCCGTTCCCCTCAGGACCCGCGTGTTTCATTCCGAATGGGTTGCTCCTGGCCCCGTATGCGGGCATGGGCTAGATAGTTCTTCCCCCTCGGAAACCACCCTGGCGCCTCTCGAAGGGCTCGTCGAGATAGGGAATCGGGCCAGGCTGAGGTAATCACCGAAGCGATCTCGTGACCGGACTTCTCGTACTGGCACATCTCTCCTCTCTGTGCCGCCCCCCACGCTGCGCTTGGCCTGGGCCTCTCTCTTCCTCTCCTGCCTCTGCTGCTGCCTCCTCTCGCCCTTTCGTCTCGCTCCTGCACGGACCTCGATTCGCGTGCGCGCGCCTCGTGTCCAGGGATTTGGTGTGGCCCGATGTCTGCATGTCGCTGTTGTGTATCCTGGCGTGGCTGGTCCGATTCGACTCCGACTCCGTGAAGGTCCCGATCGATCCGCTTCACGCGTTGGTCCGATCTTGTGTCCCCATTCGATGTCGATTGGCCTCGCCGTCGATTGTCTCCCCCCTGTCCGCAGTGTGGCTCTTCGCTTCACCTCATCAGTCGTTCCTTGGCGCTCGCTCTCGCAGCCCGCCGCTCGGAGGCTGCATTCGCACGCCGACATGCCGGACTTGGTGAAGGCGGTCGCCTCCGCTGAGTGCCCCAGCAGCGGGCAAGACGGACCCCTTCGACGAATTCAGTCAGCGGGGTTGGTAGAACCCCCATCTGGCCAGGTCGATTGGCGGGGTTGCCCGTGGGGCCCCTTGTTTTCTTTAGAAGGGTGTTGCAGCCGTTCTGTTTGCGGGCTTGCGCTCGCAGGGTTTGGTCCACAGGACGCTTCCATCAAAAGGTGTTTTGCTAGAGGGAGCTGAAGCTCAGTGGGGCATCTCAGGGATCATACATACACCCGCTACTGGCCTCAAAAAGGGGATCATGGACGATGGACAGTGGGCCAGGGGCCTTACTTGGGCCGCGACCCTAAGGGCTTAGCGACTCTTCTCCAATCGACCTGCGGGGATCAGGCCAGATAGATTGAGGTTCATCTCAGCAACTTCAGGGACATCCAACTAGATGGAAGAAATCCAGAGATGACCAGATATGTCTGAATTGATCGTGAAGCTCCAGCGCGAGCATAGGGACGTCAGAAGTCATCAAGCCCCATATTCTTAGCGGCGGTGCTGGTTGGCATGCTCACGCGGGGAAGAGGCAGCCGCCCGGTACATCGAGGGAAGAAATCAATCGGGAGCCTTGAGACGGGGGTCAATGCAAACGGGGGTCAGCCAGGGCGCCAGATCCTGCAGGATCCTGCGAAGACCCCCTCTGGCTGACCCGGGTTTGGGAGCCGCTCGTGGCCGCGAGGCGGCCGCACATATTGGCTGACCCAGGTTTGCGAAGACCTGCGTTGCAGTTTTTTTTTCCTGCATTGCAGTTTTTGGTTTCCTGCTGACCCGGGTCTGGATTGACCCGGGTCAGAAGATCCCCGAATCAACGGAGCAAGTGTCCACCAGAGCTTCACCACCAGTCCAGAAAACGGGACAGGGCAGGTACGGCAGGTTCGCCTCGTGTCGACGCGGCGGCGACCCCGACGCGGGCGCTCAAGGGTAAACTCGGCCAGTTCCCAGGAATCGGACGACACCGAATAGTCTGCGCTATCGGAAAGCCGCGATCGTTCAATGTTGAGCGATCCACGCAGCGTCGGAGTCCAATTCCGAAGCTGTCACGACACGAACCTGTGGGCCCCGTTCGTGGGCTGTGGGGCCACTGTGTGGGGGTACGCTTCCTTGCATCCTTCAGGAGCAACGATCGGTGGAGAGAAGCTCAGGGGGAACGCTCGGGTCGGGCGAAAGGGGGGGATTGGGAAAGGGGGGGTTACGAAATTTGCTGCATGCAGCTGGTTTCGGCCTCACCGAGGGGCCAATTCCTCGATACATGGCCGCTCCCGGCGCCGGGAGGCGCCGGGAAAATCAGCTACGTGAGCTGATTCTCAAACCCCCCCTTTGCTATCCCCCCCTTTCGCCCGACCCGAAGGAAGCCCAGTCATCGCCGATTGGGGCCCGATAGCCTACCCCGCTCGGGGACGTGCGGGGTCTCGCTTTCGAGGGCCTTGCCTCGGTGCATCGGCGATGCGCCGCCGATCACAGCTCGATGCTCCCCCCAGCCCACCCCCCTCTCTCCTCCTCCTCCTCCCTCCCTCCCTCCCTCCCTCCTCCTCCTCCTCCTCCTCCTCCTCCGCCTCCTCCTCCTCCTCCTCCTCCTCCTCCTCCTCCTCCTCCTCCTCCTCCTCCTCCTCCTCCTCCTCCTCCCCGGAGCCAGACTCCCCCTGACGTTCCCCATCGATCCTCGCTCCTGGGCCCCATTGGCTGCCAGAGCATCCCGCGATGGACCTCGGGGGCGGAGGCAGGTTGTGGTCGCGAGGCTGTCCGCGTGCCTCGTCGGGAGTGCTGCAGCGTTCCCGGTTGCCGCTCCGGGTGCCTGCGTGCACCTGTTGAGTGCGCAGAGCGGGAGCCACGCCGGGCTCCATGCAGGGGACCGCAAGCACGCAGATTTTGCATTCGGTGGGTGTTCTAGCCTATACGGTACAAGGTTCGACGAGAGTCGGTACCGTTCGTTGCAATCGGTCTTGGGGCCAGCTTGGCTTGCCTTGGGCGATCGGGCGGCCTTGGACACCACCTGAGGGCCTCAAGGGTACGAAGTGCGTGAGGGGTCGTCCTGGGCGCTTGCATTTCCTGTTTCCCCAGTGGCTCCGAGACCGACGGATAGTCATCGGCGGCTTGACCGAGCCCTGGCAAACCGATCCCTGGCGTTACGACCCCCTCGCAATAACGCTGGTAGACGGCCAGAGGGGAGCCGCCAGGCTGATGGGTTCGTCATGGAAGGGGCCCGTGACGGAAGGGGTCGGTCAGGCCGTGCCCGAGAGTTGACGTTTTGACTGAAGATGTACGGTTTGTGGCTACCAAGACGGAGGTCAACCACCTGTTCGGAGGCCAGCCCGTGGATTTGGCCGATTTGGTTTATGGCGCAGAAGCGAGGACCCAACTGATTGCGGGTCTAGAAGCTTTTTCAGGATCTCCCATGCTGCGCCGAGGTACCCGCCGTATTTCTATTGCGTGAAGGATCGGCATTTGTTGCCCGTGGAGTTGCTCATGGACACGGGGCCGGGCGGAGGAGAACGGGAGAGAGGGAAAGACTGGGGAAGAAAAGGGAAGAGAGGAGGAGGGGAGCGGAGGGGAGGAAGAGGGGATCAAAAAGGAGGAGGGAAGGCAAGGCAATACGCCGAGGAAGAGGTGGAGAGGGAGGAGGAGGAGCAGGAGGAGAAGGGAGGGCCAGAAGGTAGCCCGACGACTGGGTGAGCAGTGCCAATGACATTCCGGAATGTCAGCGGTACACGATAGTTGTGGGCCGCAATTGTTTGGTTCAAGATGTTCTTGCCCTCAGGTAACAAATTGCTGTCATCACGTTATCATGGTAGCGGAGCCCGTGGTTCGCCCCACGGCTTTCAGTGCATGTGGCCAGTATTTCGAAGCTCTCGCCCACCCGCAATGGCCGCAGCGGCAGCCGCAACAGCTCTACCGAACCCTGGCGCAGCCGATCCAGGTTCCGATGTGGCGTCGCTCAAGGCCCAGGAAGCTTGGTACAACTTGAGCGCGAAAAGGGTTCGCGGAGTTGCGCAATGCCAGTTGCGGGAACGGAGATTTCACAGCGCTCAAGGCGGATATTTCACAGCGCTCAAGGTTCATCATGAAGGGACAAGCATGCTCTTCGAGCGCAGCGTTGCGCTAGGCACTAGAACTGTACGACCAGGCATTCACGAGGTTGCAGATGAACTGCAACATGGCTGCTCCATTGATATCAGTCATGCAACGCAACATGTACTGCGAGGAGCAGTTCAACAATTTGAAGGAAAACGTTCAGACGGAATTTCAACGTCAAGCGAATGATTCGGAACACGTTGCCCCGTATCGCTGAGGCTAACTATACTGTCAGATGGGAACGCCCAGGACGGAGGCGGCGGAAGCAAACCCGTGAGCGAATACAAGGTGTTTCAACAGTTCGGATCGTTTTTGTGCGACCGGGCCAAATTCAGGGAATGACACAGGTAGTTGTTGAATGCGTTCGCCCAAGTGAAACATTGTAAACGGTGAGCGTTGAAGCATTCGGAGAACAAGCTCGTGACCATGTGTGAGACGATACCGGGCGACGAGAACGGATGATTTGATATAGATCATGAGCGGGAGGTAAACGCTAAGCTAATCCACTATGGCGTTGCACGTCAAAAAAACAAGAAGAAGACGCACACAGAGAATATGCGTTAGATGGCGACTACGCCAATGTGGACGAGGACCGCTGACATGTGGTGGGAGGACAGATGTGAAAGGGGCGGAGCCCCGTAGAAAGCTTACAGGCGTACATGAAAGTGACGTCCGAACAACCCATCATAATGTCTACAAGTGGCCGTTACTGGGTTCACGCTCTCCCGCAATATGAACTTGGCCACGCATTCTGAAATAACCAAGCATGTGAACGATGTGGCGACCCAACTCGAAAAATGGAATGCGTCGGTGGGGTCCCAGGGAAACTATGATTACCATGCGATGTTTTTGCGCTGAGGATTATCATTGTTCGCGCGGGTGATTGGTTCATGGACTGGCAGGATTGCTTCACAACGCCAGAGCCGATACATGATCACCCCCCGCCACAAGCCTTCATCAAGTGCGAAGACTGGGCAAGGAAACGCAACAGTGGACGCCGAAACAACATACCACGGTTCCATGGAAACCAGCAGTGCTAACGATGGAGATTTCGGCTACCCGCGCGCGTGCGGAAGTGATCACAGTTAACTGCTAAGGGTCTTTCGTCACGCCCCCCGTTTTCGTTCGGCGGTGAGAACGCCTAGTCTTAAATGCAAGCGTCCTTTTCCCGTCCTGCCCCGTCTTTCCCTTTCCCTCCTCCTCGTCCTCCTTATCCCCTTCCTCCTTCCTCCGGCAATACCAGTACATTTATTCCGGCTACTATTGCTGCTATGATTGCCATTTTACTACTACTACTACTATTCTTATTACTACTACTGCTATTACTACTACCACCACTACTACTACTACTACTACTACTACTACTATTATTACTACTACTACTACTACTACTACTACTACTACTACTACTACTGCTACCTGCACGATGCACGAGCGCAATACATTATTACTACGAATATCAACACCATTACTACCATTACCACTTCTACGGTTACTACTACTACTACGACGGCTACTACTACTACTACATCTATTACTACTACTACTACTACTACTACTACTACTACTACTACTACTACTATACTACTATTACTACTACGACAGCTATTACTATTACCAGCAGTGCTACTACTACTACTACTACTACTACTACTACTACTGCGATCACTACTACTACCACTTTTTTGACGACTACTACTACTACGACTACGACTACTACGACTACTACGACCACTACGACCACTACGACTACGATTACTACTACTACGACTACTACTACTACTACTACTACTACTATTACGAATATTACTACCATTAGTACTAAAACGACGACTACTACTACTTACGACTACCACTACTAGTACTACTACTTCCACGAGCACTACTACTTTTACGACCATGACGACGACGACGACGACGACGGGTACTACTACTACTATTACTACTACCACTACTACTACTACTACCACTACTGCGACTACTACTACTACCACTACTATTACTATTCCTACTACTACAGCTACTATTGCTACTGCATGAAACACTATTGCTACTACTGTTACTAGTATGATTAGTACTACTACTACTACTACTACTACTACCAGTACTGCGCTTACTACTTCTAGCACTACTACTATTTCTACTACTACCACCACTAGTACTATTACTACGACTGGCACTACTACTACTACTACTACTACCACTACTACTACTACTACTACTACTACTACTACTACTACTACTACTACTACTACCATCACTACTACTATTACTACTACTGGCTCTACTACTAATACTAGTAGTAGCATCAGTAGTAGTAGTAGTACTACTACTACTACTAGTATTACTACTACTCTTACTACGACTACTATTATTGACCCCGGTACTACTTCTACTATTCCTACTACTACTCCTATTACTACTACTACTACTACTACTACTACGACTACGCGTACTACTGCTACGACTAAATTTACCCGTGCTACTACAAGTACCACTATGATTTTCGTTATTACATTTGCCACCCGTACTTCTCGTGCTAGCTAGCACTACTACTACTACTACTATTACTACTACTACTACTACTACTACTACTACTACTACTAGTACTACTGCTACTACTACCAATACTACTCTTATTACTACCACTATTACTACTACTACTACTACTACTACTACTACTACTACTATTACTACTACCACTACTACTATCGCTACTATTGCTGTTACGTCTCTTGCTATTACGACTGGTACCACTACTATTTCTACGTCTTTTCATAATGCTTTTCCATTCCTAATTGCTACTACGTTTGCCAGCGTTACTACTACTAGTAATGTTACCACTGCTACGACCATCACGGTCTACTACCACGACTACTGAAGCTACTCCTGCTACTACCACTGTTTTAACCTTTGCTACTACGACCGCTGGTACTACTATCACGACCACGAGTACTACTATGACTACTACTATTACTTCTATTGCTACGAGTGCTGCCAACCAACTCGACTACTAGTATTGTTCTTGCGACAACTGGTTTTGCGACGACTACTACGACCGCCGCTGTTAGTACGGCTACTACTACAACTACTACTACTACTACTACTACCATTACTACTACTACTACTACTACTACTACTACTGCTACTACTACTACAACTATTATTTCCACTACTACTGCTACTACTACTACTACCACTACTACTCCTAGTACTACTACTACTACTGCTACGACTGCTACTACTACCACCTTCACTACTACTACTACCACGAGCAGTTCTATGATTAGTAACACGACTAACATCACTACGACTACTATTTTTTCTGTTACTACGATTAAGGGTGTTATTAGTATAGTTTTCACTGCCAACATTACTATCATTTCTACCCCATTACCTGGGCTTCCACCATTCGAACTGTTACAGCTACTATTACAACTACTTATTGTAGGACTAGTACCATTACCGCTGCGACCGCTTTTTTACCATTGCTACTTTTATAATTTCTACGACTACCACTAGCACCACTACTACTACTACTACTACTACTACTACTACTACTACTACTACTGCTACTGCTACTGAGGTTACTGATATCCCAACTAGTACTACACTCACGACTACAATGGTTAATATCTCCACTATTGCTACTTTCACCACACCTGTCATCAATAATATTATTCTTACTACTAATACTACTGCTACTACTACTGCGATTGCTACTGCTACTGGTATTGGTTGTTGTTCCTATACATTATCTGGTTCTGGGTCCGCGTTTTGAAGAGACAGGGCCCAGCGTCTCATTGTCCTCCCGCTGCACCCTCCCTCCTCCTCCCGGCCCCCCCCCAAGTTTGGCACACCCCGTGGTTCCCATAGGGAACTCCACCAAAGGCCCAGATGCCAGCGCTCTCATGCCACCGCCGCGCCTTTTTCAGCACACCCCTCACACCCTTAGTGGCCCCATCGGGAGCTCCACCGGGGGGCCCAGTGGCTGCGTTCGCATGGCCCCGCGGTTTTTTTTCGGCACGCCCCTACAACGCTTCGTGGCCCCATAGGGAGCTCCACCGAAGCCTCCAGGGGTTGCGCTCGCATGGCACAACCGCGCAAATTCCGGCACACCCCTCATACTTTTCGTGGCCCCGTAGGGAGTTGCATCGAGGGCTCCAGCGGCTGCGCTCGCATGGCACCGCCGCTCCCATTTCGGCACACACACACACACCTCACACGCTTCGTGGCCCCATAGGGAGCACCACCGAGGGCCCCAGTGGCCGCACTCGCATGGCTCCGCCGCGCGAATTGCGGCACCATTCACATGTGTCGTGGCCCCATAGGGAGTTCCTCCGAGGGGTGCGCTCGCATGGCACCGCCGCTCCCATGTCGGCACACTCCTCACACATTTCGCGGC